GCTCTGTCTTACATATTGGCAAAAAAAATCAGAAAATAAAATACAAGCTGAATATTCAAGATCTTGTTGATGACCCAAGCTCTGTAAAGGACCTTGGAATACTCACCTCTAATGATCTAAGTGCTAGAGCCCACTGCAACTACATAGCCAAAAAGGCATTAAGAGTTGTTAACCTAATCCTACGTAGCTTTTTCTCTGGTAATATCACATTACTAACCAGAGCATACAAAACATTTGCTAGACCAATACTCGAATACAGTTCATCAGTCTGGAACCCACATTACGTATCTGATATTAGCACAATTGAGAAAGTCCAGAAATATTTCACAAGAAGAGTTCTCCACTCCTCTACTCATTGTAGAATACCTTATGCCACCAGACTTGAAATTCTAGAACTAGAAAACCTTGAATTACGCCGTCTTCGGTCTGATTTAAGCATGGTATATAAAATCATACATTGCAATGTCCTACCTGTCAATGAATACTTCAGCTTCAACCATAACAACACAAGAGCACACAATAGATACAAACTCAAAGTAAACCGCACCAAACTTGATTGCAGGAAATACGACTTCAGCAATAGAGTGGTCAATGTCTGGAATACTCTACCCGACTCTGTAGTTTCTTCCCCAAACCCCAAAAACTTTAACCTTAGACTGTCTACTATTGACCTCACCCCTTTCCTAAGAGGTCTGTAGGGGGCGTGCATAAGCGCACCAACGTGCCTACCGTCCCTGTCCTATTGTTTCTCTTATTCTTTTATTTTTCTTATATGTACCCATTTCATGTATTCACAACTATGTATACACTTATACTTATTATCTTGTAAACAATTGGCAAATCAAATAAATAAATAAAATAAATAAGAGATAAAGGCATCATACTCCATATAGTGTACAGGAGAAGTCTTTCTTCTTTCTTTAAAGAAGAAAAATAAATGGTTGGCTGGAATAGAACAGACAAAGAATAATAAATATTATGATATGAATTGAGAGGAGATAAATAAAATAAAATAAAATTGAGAAAATTTAAAGGAGAGGAGAAGTCATATAGAAAATTGAAAATGTTAATAAGATATGAAATGGTATGTAAAATGAATTTGAATTTGTGTCTGTACCAAGAGTTTTAACCCGGGACTAAGCAACTTTCAGAAAAGAGATTTTTTATGTTATTATGTTTTTGTGTTTATGTGTATTTATGTATTGTTTGTTTTGAAAATAAAATTTGTTTTAAAAAAAAAGAATGTGGAAGGATTAACATCAAGTAAGTTAATTTACATCCCTTATACCATCCAAATGCCCCATATTGATTAACAAAACTGAATATTGTCATTAATGTTCTTTAAGAACACATCATTAATTGTTGTGGTCCGCTGGCAGCCTGCAGAGACGGCAGCAGAGTCGGACAGTGCAGAGGAACATGGGGCAGTCCAGGAGTCTGGGGAGGACTCGGGCGAGAGTCCTGCATCGGATATAGAGATAGGGCCAGGGCCATATGAGAGTTGACTCTGTGCTGACTCTGGAGCCTCCAGAATCTGACAGCAGCGAGGCAGAAGAACAAGGGAAGCCTGTTCCCAGTTCATGCGTGTGCAGAGCTGCCAGAAGGCAAGAACAGTTAAGATAAAAGGGGCGACTCAGGAGTAAGGCTTGGATATGACATAAGACATAAAGGAGGAGCAAAGGGACAGGAATCTTTTCAGGAAGCAACTTTGTTCGAACTGGTCAGTTTGAAACCTGAAGCTCAGTGTTGAATTTGTGCTCCAGTTGGCCTTGTATAACTAATTGGAAATTTAGTCGTTGGCAGCATTTCAAGGAAGATAAAGGTGCATGCTTATCAGACTTATCCTAAAGGACTTTGGCAGACTTCCATGGACTATTTACAAACTGTTTGAGACTCATTTATGGGCTGTGAATGACTAAAATTCACAGCCATTGAAATAAAGAAAAAAGGGTCTTGTGTGTTAGTATCTCAATAAGCCTTGGTCAGAACATTAATATGCACATATAGATATTCTAAGTCCATGACACCAGTAGAAGCAGATGCCTAAGGCATGTCAATATATATCTTGTATAGTTACATAATCAATAAGGAAAGTTCCTACCTATTTTTAAGGCATGTTTTTTTTACTATAATTTTGAGCTAGTTCTGTTTTTAATAATTTTATTTATTATTTAATTTGTATGGTGCCTATTTTATAAAATTGACTCTGACCATTTTACAGGATTAAAACAAACCCACCAAATGTTCTATTATTATTCTTGATTTACTTTTTAAACATTACAGGAAAGTAATGCCAGTTCATTCTGTAATATTTCAGCTCTTGATACCCTGTGATCTTCTCCATTTTCTGTCTTCTATTCAACTATCTCTAAGGGTTACCATATCAATTATCCATACTTTTTTCTTTTCAACCACAGTTAAATCTGGTATGTCGTATGACAAAACTTTTTCAATTTATCTTTGGAATTCCCACAATATTTTAATGTGGTCGTTTTGACTATACAGTGGAACTTTGGGTCCTTGGCTTCTGTTCACGACCAAATTGGGTTCTGACCAAAAATTCCGCAGCCTCAGGTCACGATTCAAAAATTGGGTGGCGAACAAACCCGGCTGCAGCAGATTCTCTTTCTGTGCCAATTTCGCCTTCTGCACATGCACAATCCATGCAAATTTTTATCTGTGTATGCACAGTCAGTTGTGCTTCCGGTCATGACAAAATCGGGTTGCAACTGTAGTCCTGGAACGGATTATGGTCGTGACCCAAGGTTCCACTGTATTATTACTATTACTATTATTATTATTCACAGTACTATTACTTAAAATAATATTTATTAAATTATTTCCATGTAACAAACATTTAGGGGTCAATGAACAATCTGAAACTTCATGAAGATGTTTATGAGCTAAAGAATTCAAGGAGCCTTGCCTTAAATATTGTGAAGCTTCTAAAAGATATTCCAATAAGTGGTCCTAGGTCCACATTTTGCACTAACCGTGGCTTCTGCATTTTCAAGAGCAGGCCTCTTTAGAGTGTACTTCAATTTTCTAGGCCACCAAATAGAGAATCCTTGCACAAGAAAGTTTACAACCAATGAGACAATCACCACTGACCAAATGCACTCTATGCTACTAAAGTATAGTAGTTTTAGTATGCTACAACTAAAATACAAAGGAGTAATCTATTGGAAAATAAAAGTCATATTTTATTTGTAGAAATATCTAAAATATAATGGAGGCTACTATTAACAGAATGGAAGGTAACTATTCTGTTTCCACTACAGTCTTCTAAAAAGTTCTGGAGAATATTTTTTATCTTTAATGTGTTGATTTCAGTTATCTCCAATTTTATCTCTGTAAAGATCTTGGATCACATTTCACTTTTATTCTTGCCCCAACAACTTTGTAAACATGGGCAAGGGCAGGCAAGAGGGGTAAATGACAAAAGTCGCAATGCAATGCAAACTCCATTCAATGGCATAATGCAAGTGTGTAAGATACAGATTTGCCTCAGTATCCCACAATGCATTCTCACTACCATAGTACAACCTTGTTTGTGAAGTAGATTAGTAAGAGAAAAAGTGACAGGACAAAATTCATCCAATGCATACCATGGTTCTGTAAAGGCTTAGATAAATTTGTCAATCATTTTCTGAAAAAGCTTAAGGTTTGGCATTTTAGATGCCAAACATATTCTCAGGAGAAAAAAATGCAAAGGAAAACAACCAGGACTTTCTTTAAAAGACTATATTTCTTATTCTCTGGAACAGGAAAATGAAATACATATTTTAAGATCATGGAATGGCTCTCTGGCTGCATGTTGATGACTTGGGGAAGCTTAGATCAACCAACAGCATCTTCATCAACTCCACTAAGCAATCTGGATGAAACAAAAAATACTTATAGTTCCAGTCCTATGCTGGGGATTGCACATGTATTCAATCTATGATCAACTTTTATTTATTTATTTATTTGATTTGATTTGATTTGATTTGTCAATCACTTACAAGGTAACAGGTATAAGTATAAACATAGTTATGAATACATGAGATGGATACATATAAGAAAAATAAAAAGAAACAATAGGACAGGGACGGTAGGCACGATTGGTGCGCTTATGCGCGCTTATGCACTGGTACTTTTGTATGGATGTGTATCAGCATTATACAGCTACAGAACTCATCGTATGGGAACTCCTATGTGTCACTTATCTTATACTTGGAGCTTTACATATGAAATCTAATGGTCCGCCAGTTTTTCAATTCTGTTAGTATCAGCTTATAAGGTGGACCAGACAAGAAACACAACCAGATGAGCTAGTTTTACATTATTGTAAAGCTATATTAACAGAAACTTGCAAGTTCTCCCTCCTCCACATTTACAGCCCAAGAAAATAGAGAGGGTCTCTTCTGAGCCCCTTGCCCCACCCACATTCTTGTTAACGAGCTCAGCTGCCTTTTCTCCAACAGTTCCCTTGGTTGCATTTCTTTGCCTTATCTCCCATGGTCATTCCCATATACTATTAGTTAGAAACATGTTACATGAACATGGAACTTTCATGGGAAACTATTTATAAGAAACAAATAAGGAATGGATATTAATAAGAAACAAATAAGGAACCTCACTCCATTCCTAAGAGGTCTGTAACGGGGTGTGCATAAGCGCACCAGCGTGCCTACCTTCCCTGTCCTACTGTTCCCATTTATCCATTTATTCGTACTCATTTATTCTGTATGTACTTATATCTGTTTATACTTATATGTTTATATTCTATGTTCATACTTGTTTTCTCATACAAGCAAACAAACAAACAAATAAATAAAGTGTCCATATTGGAAGGACATGGTGTCTTTTGGTTAATGTTCTTTTTTTCAAGATGATTCATCAGAATGCCCATGTATTGTTTGATATACTTTTCTCGGAAAAGGAAATCAATTTAACTATAGTTCATATTCATTTTATCAAGAAAAATGAAACATAATAATAATGTAAATAGCACAAACCTTCTTAATTTTCAAATCATTTTGTCTCTTCCACAGTTGCTCATCAAATATTCTGTTGTCTGTCTTTATTTTTTTTTTAACAGCATCCAGCCGGGCATAGAGAAAATCAACTAATCTCTGAGTATTTTCCTCCTTGGACTTTATTTTGGCATATTTTTCTCTTTAAGGGAAAGAAAATATATCATTACTTGTATGAAAAATTACTCAGAACTATTAGGCAAATTGCTCATGCGGAAACAGTGATTGCACTCTAGTGAGATGCTTTATAAATGTATAAGGGCAATGTGCATGTATAGTTTATTGGACCATTTCTTTTCAGTAGCTCTCTCAGTTAAACCTAAATGTACACACACACATACACGCACATGCACACACAAAGATATTTTATAGATATAGAATACAAATTTATATAATAATGTAAAACACATGAACCTGATTTAAACTAAGTCACATATGTACCTCAACTTGCAGCACTTAAGACATTTTAAGTGAAAGTTAAGAGATTGAAGCCATAATCTTTAACAAAACAAACACACAGCTTAGCTGCAGTACAAAGTTGTGAAATGTAATAAAATGGACACATTCTTGTCAGTAGTTAAAATTTCTAGTTAGTAGCAAATAGGTTCAGATACTGGTGACTACACTACACAAACAAATGTTTTCCATCTTGAGCTGTCCCTATTGTGTAACTAGCTTTTCTAAGGACATTTTGTTAATGCTCTTGATCCCATCCATCCATATCTGTGGTTATATGTAGTTTCCTCAATCTTGCCAAGCAGACTTAGAATCCCAAAATAACTAAGTTCCTGCTTGTTGATCATGTATTAGCTGATTATTTTTAATCCTTTATTTGTTTCTGAAACTTGTTAATTCATTTGC